TAAAAAAAGAAACACACAAAACATTTTTCTAAAAAGTTTCCGTGAATAAATACATTTGATCTTGGTGTTGAAATTTCTTTAAAGAAAAAGATCACAATCAACTTTTTATACTTCTTTTTAGATATGTCACAAACTCTGCTCTGGTGGCCTAGCGGTAGGAAACCAAGCTGCCAAGCAAAAGGCTAATATTCTTCAAAGAGAAAAATGGGTAATCTCCTCCCACAGATTTACTGCCTCTGAAAACCTGCTAGAGGGTCAGCTATGAGTCAGCTTTGACTAGACAGTATATAACAACAAAAACAACATTTCATCATTTATCATCACGTCCACTGAGACAAAGAAAGTGCATACTCAGAAACTGCACGTCTAGACCCTCATCTCTCTCTTCCAAAGTGAGGCCTTGGATCCTTATTCTTCCTACCATCAGCTACCGTGAAATGAGAAGTGTTCCCAATTGCCTAAAATGTATGCTTGAGATGATAAAAATAGCAAGATTCTTTCAAGAAAAAACAAGAAACAGAATGTTTTGATTCTGAAAAAGAATTTCAACTGTGAGAGCATTATGGAGCCAAGCACGTCAACTTAAAAACATAACTTGCTTCCATTTTAATTAAAGTTAAAACTAAACTTGGCGAGCTCTGGTGGCCTAGTGGCAGGAAACTGCACTGCAATCCCAGAGGTGCGCTGTTCAAATCCACCAGATGCTCTGCTGAAGGAGGAGAAACAATCGCCTCCTGTACCAGTCAGATCCAATTTGACGGTACACACATAAAAAAAAAGCAAATAAATGAAAATTAAAAAAACAAAAAACAAAAACACAAAACTCATTGCTATCTAGTTGATTCTGACTCATTTTAGGATAGAGCAGAAACAGCCTAAATGATTTAAAGACTGTAATCTTTACAGAAGCTGATGCTACATCTTTTACCCACAGAGCAGCTGGTAGGTTTAAAGAAAAGATCTTTACAATAAAAACCAAGAGTTTACCCAATCTATCACTGAGTTCCTTTCAAATCGCCACTGAGTCAGAACCAATTCATAACTAACCCTCCAGGGGGGTTTTGAGAGGGCCTATAAATCACAGCAGAGGAGACTGCCTGTCCTTCTCCCATAAAGCTGGGGGTGGATTCAAACTGCAGAAAAAGTACAGCCTCGGGGTCAGCAGTGCAGCTCCCTATCAACTGCGTCACCAGAGCTCCCATTAAACCCACTGCTGACAGATCAGAACTGACTCAGCTGATCTTCCAGTGGTTTTCAGAGGCTGTAAACAGCACCAGAGGAGACTGTCTTATCTTTCTCTCTTGAAGCAGCTGGTGGATCCAAACTTGGTGCCTTTGGGCTGGCAACACAACGTCTTGCCCACTAGGCCATCAGAGCTCCCTCAGCTCCCAATAGTGGTGGTCAAATTAAAACAGATTTGTTGGTTCAAGAGATTTGGGGGAAGAGAATTCTATTATAGACACATGAAGATTGGTCAAGTAAGCAGTTAGTGCTCTTCTGACCTAACCCTTGGAATGAAATTCCCCAGGAGCATGCACCTGACTTGTCCTCACTGATGTAGCCATTTGAGTAATGTCTCTTTGCTTGGCCTACATGAACACCACAGCCCACCAAGAGCACTCACACAACCAGCCCTGTAGCCCTTCTTTTTACACAACACTCTTACTGTTAGTCATGCAGTTGCCTGTGCCAAAGAGAATTTCTACACATTCACCATCACCCGTAAGTAATAACAGAACGGGGAGGGCTTTAACTAAAGTTCTACAAATTGAAGACTCAAAATTAGTTCCCATCATTATTAGATAGCTAAAAGATCAAGTAGGATTCATTTGTTTTGACCAACTGAATACATGCACTGCCCTAAATGAGCAGGCCGCATTTGACCCAAACACCAGTAAAAACTCAATTCTGCAAGTATTTGTGTGTCTGCTATGCATAAGAAAGGCACTTTATCTTCCTAAGAGAAAAGAAAATTAGTATTCCCTTCAGGAAATTACTGACTTGAATTAATACTGACGCCACATAATTTTATTTCTAGGACAAAATTTGATCAACAGTGTAATCAGATTAACCATATTATAAAAATGGACACTGATAATTGTACAGTAAGGATTCTAATGTAGAAAGGATTTGGCATGAGATATTTTCAAACATGGCTTTAATGATAAAATTGCAAGGATTTGGGTTATTAGCTGCACATGCTGTGTCTCTTCCATATTATACCCATCTACCCATAACAACCACCACCACCTAAATAGACCTTTGTTTATAAATGTAAAATTTATTAAATCTGTATGATATATAAAAATAATCAAAAAAGTATTCTATTCTGATCACTGATGTTTCTACTTCTTTTGAAAGCCAAAGTACAAATTTAAAGATTCATTTTTCCTCTTCATCATTTTCTTAGAACCTAGATATTTTTCTATGGTAAACTGGGTTGAATGGATTTGGTTCTGTCCGTGTGACACTGGGAAACTGGAAAGCAACAAAATCTAACCACTGATGGAATGGAAAACAAGGCAAATAAAAACTTGGGAAGGATGCTTTCCTGTTTACTTCTTTGAAGGTTCCCAGTCTATGCATCAATTATGGGCTCACTCTCCAGTACTTCTAGAAGAGGGAGTAGTGAGTCATATGAAGGAGCAGCTCAGAGGTCCTTGGCTACTTCAGTATTTCTCTTAGGAGAGTCATATACAACTGGGCTCAATGTCACCAGATTCATCTAGTATGGGAAGCAATAAATAATGATCGATTCTAGTTTTACCACAAATCTATGTGATCACAGGCAAAAGCACATTTGAATATTTGTTTATTTGTCTAGAATATTGAAAGATAAGTATGTGTCTCATCTATGTAATTGAAGAATCAAATAATTTACCGAGTACACCCTTGGTGCATCAGTGATCTTCACCATACCATGACTGACATTATACTTCAGAGATCTTGGGAACGATAAAAACTTGAGAGGCAAAGCTGTGTTTCATTGAATCTGAGTCTCAATCCAGAAGCATACGGATTCAAATGGAATTACAATAACACTGTAAAACTTGGCTGGTGGTTTCTTCAAATCAAATGCGTTTAGTGTTCTCCAAAGACTGCCTTTGTAATGTTCCATAATAGAAACAAAAGACAAACAAAACCTACAGCTAGACCAAAGGCTATTGTGCAAAGAGAATAAAGGACCACTATATGGTTTAAAGCAGCAAGCACCTGAAGCACCTGCTGCAGAGGGTCAAGGACTGCAGCCTACAATATGGATTGAGGCTCAATGTCAAGACAAAGATTCTCACCACTGGACCAATTGGCAGCATCAGGATGAATGGTGAAGAGATTGAGATTCTTCACAGCTTTAGTTTGCTTGGCTCCACAGTCAACAGTCTTGGCACCAGCAGCCAGGAAATTAAAAGGCGCATTGCCATGGGAAAGTCTGCTGTTAGGGACCTCTCCAAAGTACTGAAGAGCAATAGTGTCTCTCTGGAGACTAAGGTGCGTTTGATACAGGCCATGGTCTTTAAAGCAATGTCTCAGAAAATTAACCTTTTTAAAAAATTAACTATATCCCTTTTACAATCTAATAAAATGAAAAGGTAAATAATTCCTTTCAAAGCTGTTCAAATATAAGATATTCGTGGAAGATTTTTTAAAATGATTATAAAGTTACCTCCTTAAAGTTATCAAATGCTGATAAAATTATTTCATGTCCACCTCTGACAAGACAAACAGCTGCCAACAGTTCTAAGACAAGGGCTTTTGTTCTGTCAAAACAAGAAGAAAAAGAAAAATATCATGCAATCAATATATAATGTCAATGCAAGAGACAATGAGTTGGAACAGTTGTTCTTTCCTTCCAAGATGGGTATGATAAACAATATTTTTAATTTTAAACTTTGGTAGAGCTCCCCAGTTAAAACAACCTTGAAATCAAGAGTGTCATCCACTTCCAAAATAGCTTGCCTCTGGAAACTCTATGAATGTGGAGAAACGACGAAAGTTATACAAGTGTTCAGGGCTTTCGTTCATAGGGTCGCTATGACTCGTCTATAACTAGACAGCACTTAACAACAACAACAACAAAACTTTATAAACTATAGTTTTATTAAAGTACATCCTCAAATCTTTATTAACTTCTAAATATGTGATTTTACTAAGTCAGCAAAATTGGGTAGTATGTTCCCATTTACAAAATAACAAAGTATTCTCTTACGAAAATGAATTCCAGAAAGAATCATTTCTTTTCTCTATCATTAGGCAAATTAACAAAATATGGTTTTTAAAAACCACTGATCAGCTAAAAGCAACAGAAAACTTAGGACTATGGAGGCAGAAAAACAAGCCAGTAAATATTTTCTCAAGGTTTTAGAGCCTGAAGCATAACATTTGCCTAAAACCTTAAATCAACTAAAATTAATGGCCTACATTTCAAATCTGCTCATTTACAGATGGCTCCACAAAAATCTGCCATGACAATGCAAGTTTGCATCATTCCTTTTATGTAAGAAATCTGGACGGAGCTGGATTACAGCTGCACTACCATGAGAAGTTTTCCTCTGACAGAAAAGAAAATAAAGTTCCATTTGAAATATTTCTGAAAGGAGAATATAGAGATACATTCAAGTTTTCAAATACAATGCCAAGTACAACATTCTTCACCATAAGATGACTTCAGTTGCTCATCTTTCTTTGGGAAGAAAGTGTATTGCTAACCTGTATATAAACACTTACTGGATGGATATTCCATAGATTAGTTGTTTTTGATGAAAAATGAATAGTAGAAAAGAAGAATATACAAATATGACTCTCTGGGATTCTAGTAAACTAAGGAGGCAGTCACAAAGCTGCAAAGGTTTAGCTGAAAAAGTCTGCAAAGACCAAGTAATATCCAACTTTTACACAGGACTGATAATTTTCCAATTTCTCATTTTACAAACCAGAATGGTCTGAATTAATAATGTAGTTGCAGTAATAGTTTCAGTCCATACAAAGGTATTTGATGAAAATGAATTAGACCTTCAAAATGCAGAAAGCCTGGCAGGTTGGAAAACACAATAGAAAAACAAAAGCAACTGATAAAGACATGTTTCTGGATGTAATCTGTGATATGCACAGTGTATGGTGCTGGCCTTCATGGAAAGAGAAAAGCAAGGCAAACTACATGTACAGGTCTCATTGTTCTTAATTCTGGTTTGGCAATAAAAACTACATGCGAAGAAGCAATGGCAGTAAATGAAGTATGGCTGAAATAGAAACGTTTCAGAGAAGTTGCTGCAATGACTGGTGCTTAGTCTTTAACAAGACTTTCTTGGCCTTCTGACATCTTGGCGACCTTATCATTTCCCTCAAATTTAGCGGCATGGATGTTAAGAATGAGGCTTTGAAAGGGATGGAAACATGAGGATGACAGTGAAAAGTCAGAGCTATCACCAGTTGCTCAACTCTGCCACATTTAAGAATTTACTTTGGCTGTGAGGAAAATTCTACCCAGCCAAGAAGTCTACAGCCAATTTCAGAAAACCACACTTGAATGTTTTTAAACTCTAGCTTGATTAAGTGTTAACAAAAAACTCGCTGCCATCAAGTCAACTCTGACTCACTGTCACTCTGTGGACAGGAGGGAACTGTCCCAGGTGGTTCCCCAAGGCTGCCACTTCATTCTCCCACGAACCAGCTGGTAGGTTCAAACCACTAAACTTTTTATCAGCAGTCAACTGTTTAACCGATAGGCCATTAGGGTTTCTTACATGTTAACCAGCTCTCTCTTTTCTCAACCATAATTCAGACTTGCATATTCCAAAGCCAGCAAGCTTACCTGGGATTCTTGTTGTTTAAACTTAGTGCAATCTCGTTGACAGCGTGGGGGTGAGACATGACCATGTTGAAACCATACTGCAATTAACATGGAGAAAAACCAGGGCGTTAGAAATCAAGTTAGGAGATTGATTAAAAGACAAAACCTGAACTTCCTAAATAATGTAATTTATACTATAATAAGTGCATTTGTGTCTCCACCACATCAGTATCTGAACATAATTTATCCTCAGAAAATTCAGGAATGATGCTATCATCAAGCATATTATGCTATTACACAAACCATATTTCCATTCTTTATGAATGAACTGCATGCTGTAAATCCGTGCATTAATTTCTCTTTATTAAAATGGTCAAGATATCCCAGAGACTCTACCTCACTGTTCTCAACCCTGGCTGTTCATTGAAATCACCTCGGAAGAGTAAACAAAACACTGATACTCCAGAATCTACTTTAGGTCAACTTAATCTTTTCTTTTTTTCTTTTAAAAAAACCAACATTCTTTTTATTCTTGGCATACTATCATTCATAAATATTGCCATTTCATGTATGTTCATTGTGTCTTATTCATGTACACTGTACTTTATAGTCATCTGTATATACTGTATTTACATAATTAACTAAGATAGCAGAGGTGGGGTGGGGAGGTGATGGTGGTGAAAAAATGGAAAAGATTCAATGGGCACTTATTGTATCTTTAGCATTTTGAGGATGACTCCCTCAACTGACTGTTGCAGTAGTTGACAATCACTTTCTCTTGTCACACCTTGAGCAGCAGCTAACAGGACCAAGATCCGAGATCAACTGTCTTGTTCTGCAGCATGTTACTTCATCCTTCTACTACAAACTAAGCAGCTTAATAACAGACTCAAGAATCACTCCTAATTCTGCTGAGTTGATTCTTTCTTTCTCAAACCCACTCTCAGTTCTTGACCTTATTCCTTCTTAAAAGAAAGCAGAAGCAGTGAAGGAGAGGGGCAGATGCCACAAAATTTATCACCATATTGACTCACTTCCATAGATTTATAGTTTACCTTCTCACCACTTCCTAAATTGAACTGTCCTGTGCTCCAATCCAAGGCCAATGCTTCCATTTGAGTTAGGAACCCCACCCTCTCTCACTTAGTAACAGTATTTGCTCCAGCAAATCTCTACCTTCTGTCATTATTTCTGCTCTACTGACCTATTAGTATAAAAACATGCTATAAATAAATCTTCCTTTTCATGGTACTCAGTAGTGACTCTCTGGACTCAGCTTCCAGGGGGGTTCCAACCTTGACTCCCACCATTTAGTAGCTATAAGTAAACATTTCTGTGCCTCAGTTTCCTCATCAGCAAAAGGAGTAAATTAGTATTATCAATCTCACAGAGCTGATCTGAGGTTTACACAGCTTAGTAGGTTTTAAAGCACCAGACCTATAGTAGAATGTACAATGGAAATGTTCACTTTTATTAGCATTACCATTATCTGGCATGTATATATGTCATCACTGTATTCATTTATCATCTTTCTTTTAGTTTTGGAAAGTAAGCTCCTAGGCGCATGTATTTATTTAATTTTATGTTCTCTGTGCCTAGAACACAGTCTGACATATAGTAGTTGTACTTATGGGATGAAAGACAGCATAAATGCATGATTCCCTTCCTGAACGCAACACAGCACCCTTCTCCTGGTGTGTACTGTAATAATGAGCCTCTTCCTGAGTCACTACTATGAACCCTCTGGAGCATACAATCACCAGGAACCAAATCCTACTTTTACATGGAGTTGTGTTTCCAAATCTAACACCTGATTTGCTTGCCCACCTATACTTTTTAAAGCTTTCCGTTCATCCTTGCTATTTTGGGCTCTACCATCTACTCTGTGGTCAGGACTAATCCAATCCACATGTGCACTGTCTCTCCAAGTGTGGGCTTCTTGGATCATACTCTTAAAACAAGGTGAAGAATCTGTACTTTTAACAAAACTCATCCAGGTCATTCTATAAGTTCAAAACCACTGAGCCTACCATATTTATAACTTCCTACCTATTCAGTACATAAACCAATGAATTATCCAATTACCCACAGCCAGACAGAGGCATAGATGGACTTTAAAATAAGAAACATTAACCAAGTAACATAGGCAAATACATCTGTCACTACATAAGGAGGAAAAAATCCTTTAAAGTATATTTAACATTAAAAAAATAATAAAATTTTTAAGTATATTTAACACTATTAAAAATAAATGTCAATTTGAGTGCAATATATGCTAAAAGTACTTTAACAATAGTATATCATTAAATTTCACATTTACTGCAAAAAGAAAAAGGAAATCAGAGAAAACAACATATGCTTATAAACAAATTAATTTGGGGTTTTACTTTCATTTGCTTTATTTTCAAAAGGATCGGAACATGCCACATACCTGATAGTTCATGATGGCACGTAAACACATGATACATACATGGACATCATCTTTTTTACTCACTAATCTTGAGTTTTTCAGGGTTCTTCTGCTTGGCAAAGTATTATACCTACAAGGAAAAGGTAAATGTCCATAAAGTTATAGATAACTTTCTCAGTAATGGCACATGTGCTTTATAAAAGAAATATTATCCTCTACCTTTAACTGGGAGAAGGATGGGCACTCTCCTCCCATGTGATTAACTGTCTCTAATAACCCGGGTTAGGGTCAGCTATAGGTAAGTTCCGACTTGATGGTAAACAACAACAATCTTTACTTGCACGAAAATGAGGACTGTAGTTCAAAGTCACCAAGAGCAAACCCACTCCCAGCAAGCTACTTAGGCAGACTGACTGCCAGCCAGGTCTGCATGATTCTGTGTGCTGGTCATCATCTCCTCAGATCAGAGACGCCCAGACAAGGGGACTCAGGCCCATGTCCAGAACACAGCCTACCAGACCACAAGGAAGGTTAGCCAACAATCCCAGGATCCTAGCCAGTAGGCCATACCAGGTTTGCAGAGATCTGACGCGAAACACATGCAGATTTAGTGAAGGCGTAAAGCTTAGTTTATATACAGAACTCTCACCAACTGCTGTTAGGATGGGCCAGTCCTTGGAAAAAGATAGTATGAAGGGAAATACGGAGGGTTAGACAGAGAGAGGAAGACCTTCATCAAGACAGATTGATCCAATGACTGTAACAACGGGCCCAAAAATATCAGAGCTGGTGAGGACGGCACAGGATAGGGCAAGGTTCCCATCTGTCATTTACAGAGTCACTATGAATTATACTCAACTAACTCAGAACCTCACCAACTGACCCAACTTTAGGTGGACCTTTCCAGTGATGCTCTCAAGAGTCCTTGCTTCACACTTTAGTCCTAGGCATGATCGTACATTACCAAATTCCCTATCAGGCTGTGGCAGAAGACCCTGAGGTCTTAAAGCATGCTTCACGGAAAGCCTGGTTGGCAGAAGATAATTAGAAGGAAATATATTGATATTTCAGAAGGTGATGCAGTTTTAATGTTGGGAGTCATTCTATAGAGAATATGCTCATTGCCTAAACCTTCTGCTATTACATTCTCCTTTAAGCAGATTTACCAGAGTGTCTGCAAGTCATGTTTTTAAAAAAGAAAGTGACAATGTAACCAGATGCAAGCAGAAAAGATGACCACTCTGAGAGTTTTAAGGTGAGTGAAAACCTAGGTAAGTAAGTCCCATCACCCCGCTCCCCAATTCAAAGCCTGAAAAACACAAATTTCCAAAACTGTCAACTACTTTCATGAAGTCAAAGACAGAAATGCTCCATCAAAAAGCTAAAGCTCTCCCTTCTTTCTGAACGGAACTAATCACTAGCTAAAAGGAGGCATGATTAATATTAACATGCTTTCAAAAGTCCCACAGGTGCAGGGCAGAAGTTGAAAACAGAACAGACAGTGCCGTCTAAAGTAGTAGTTCAGTTGAACACTTCTTTTCATTTCATTTTTTGTCCAAAAGCTAGCAAAGAGGGAAGATTCTCATAAGCCTACTATTGAGCCAAATACTTTTCTCCCCTCAAAGCCAATAAAATTGCTGACGGATAGAAAAGGTCCAGAATGGGGAAACACCTGTTGTCACACAGTGAAAACGTCAGCCCCACTGGGCCACAAAACAGGATACGTTCATACACTGTTGGATGGGGAACTGAAGGTCACAGAATGGATGAGGCACTATTAGGGGAGTTCAGGGCGGGATAGCTAGCAGTGAAAATTGGCAATCATAGGTCCATACCACATGGTGGGATTATATGATTGGTCAAAAGTATGTGCTCTTCAGTTTATTATGAGATGGCCTCCAGAGGGCAGACAGGCCCAGTTTTTCTGATAACCTATAGACCCTGTTTATTTCTGGAGGGCCACTGTAAAAATACATTAATAATATCAAGACCTTTCAGGCACAAGTTATGGTATCTTGCATCTGTGTGTTTGTAATGACAAAGACTCTTTGGGGAATGAATAGACATGTTGCACAGGCCAGACCTCAGAGAAAAGTCAGCACCAAGAAAGAGCTAAGAACTGCCTTACATAGGAGCTTCTGAAAATATAACATGGACTCCATATTTTAAAGTGGAATAAAGACTTTAAGATGGAGGTAAGGATAAACTTTTAGATCACTCTATTTGCATACAATCAAGTGCCTCTGATTTTAGACTCTCATATATCCTTCCTCTTGAACATAACTTTTTAAAAAAGTTTTAATCAAATATATGTTTTCAAAGTACTTCTTAGTCACTTGTCCTAATAAAACCTGAATATGTAAAATTTAGTTTTGCTCATGCTAATTTTTTAAAAGGGGTAGCTGTTTTTATTAATCTACAGTGTTAAATTTCACATTTTTTCATAGTGTCAAAGATTCTTCTGCTTCTAGGTATGGCCAACATCTCTCTTTCAACCTTAGAGCATACTCCTATAGAATCAAAGCCTCTTACTATATTAATTTATTTCAGCACAGGTTTTTAGTTCTTAGTGGAATTGTGATAAAAACATAATCATAGAAAGAGAGAAACTGCTATTATTTTAAGACAAGATCATCTAAGATTAAGTTAAAAGGGAAAATAAGGTGGTTAGGGAGCTCCGATGGGTTGGTGGTAAGAGTTGTACTGCTATCTCAAAGGCAAGTGGTTCAAATCTACTAGCTGCTCCACTAGGGAGAAAGATGGGTCATTTCCTCCCATGTGATTCATTGCCTCTGAAAACTTATTGTAGGGTCAGCTATGAGTCAGATCTGATTCAAGGGTACATAAAAACAACAATGGAAATAACTGTTGTTTAATTACACTTATGTAAAGCAATAATTCCAGAAGATAGACTAACAAAGCAAATTATGCTTGATAAAAATCAGGCAGGTACTTCCACATCATTTCCAAGTAATATCAGAGTGATGCATTTAATAATATTTATGAAAAGCTATGAAATAAGAAAGCTTCCTTTTCCCTAGTTGATCAAATTCTTGAGCTATACTGCAACAGTCTAAGAAATCAAGACATCTTTGTTACTGTATTTTAAAATGCGGAAATCAGCAAAAATACATTACTTAGGAGAATAGTCTACTTATTAAATATTGACACTAAAGGCTTCTATTTGTTATATAGAATAGTTATCCCCAAATATATTTTCTGGATAAAGAATTAAAGCTGATTTAGTAGGAAATGCTACTTATACATATTTGTTAATATCGAAGGAGTTTAAAAAAATACACATTATATAGATAAGTTGTAAAAAAAATGAGTTATTTATCACTGATAATCTGTGTACAAAAAAATAGTGATAAATTGTTGTAAAATGCATTCTTTGATTTTCCCCTCTCAAATTTTTCACTTGTTTAAAAACGAAGTGGAAAATTAAAGGCAATATCTGAACTTCTATGTCAGCTGAAAGAGATCTTTATGCAGGAGCTTTGAAGGTAAAAGTGTTTATCTGCTAACCCAAATGTCAGTGATCTGAACTTATCAGTCTTCCCACAGGAGAAAGATTAGACAGTTTACTGTCATAAAGATTTACAGACTTAGAAACCCTGTGGACTATTCTACTGTTCTACAAGGTGCTGGGAGTCAATGTCAACCCAAGGGCAGTCATTTTGGACTGGCTTTTGGTTCTCTCATATAACTAACTCTGCCTCACATACTCTGGGTATGTTGCAAGAGGGCCCATTTCTTAGGGGAGGGGGGAAGAAAGACATCATGCTGGGAGAAATGGGAGGTAAGAGAAAATGAGGAAGATCCTCAATGAAATGGAAGTATACAGAGACTGTAACAATGAGTGTATCAGAGATTGAAAGGATGGCACAGGACAGGACTCAACTTGAGCTGTACTCAACTTGAAGGCATCTAACAGCAACACCATACAAAGGGGGAAAATGAAGTGCTAAATAGTCGTAAGGAAGAAGTGGAGAGGAAATGTGACAAAACTAGATCTATGTCTTCTCACTGGATTCAGAAAAGTCATGTTCTACAAGTTCTTTCTCAAGCTGATTCATTAGCAATCTGTCAGGCTATCATGTGACAAGCCTCCACCTATAACCATCTGAACTGCTGTATTTCCTTGTCAAGTATTTGTACCTTGTCATCCTGATGAAATACACTGCTTTGGGTCTATGTTGTTATCATTTCCCACCCTCTGCAATTACCCCATCAGTCAAGGCTAAGGCCTTGTTTAATGAGAACAGTAGCTCCCGCGCATCTCTTGCCAATCACTGCCATCGAAGAGTCAACTCCAACCAATGGTGATTCCATATACATAGGAATAAAATGTGCTCCAGAGAGCAATTTTTCCAAGTTAGACAAGTAAATTTAACTCTCTCAAGGTGTCTACATGGATGCAAACTTCCAGTATCTTGATCAATGGATGCTAATCACTTGCATAACCCAAAGATTTCTTTCAGAGTACAGTGGTCTAAATAATCATTCTTAACTTCAGAGCCATAGATTTCTTACTTTAGTTTAATAAGCTTCCTTTTAGCCAAGAAATGAATAATTTCTTCTTGGTCTTTGTCATTATACTAACTAAGAAGAAAATAAAACTGTCTCTGAATCTTTATCTTGTATCACTACTAGGAAAGAGAGGCTTGGGGGTTTTTTGGTTAGGTTTGCTTGGTTGTTCATTTTTTGTTTGTTTGTTTAATTTAAAAGGGCTTCTCACTTTGTATTTTAAAATTCTCATTCTAGACAAAATGTTCTCCCTTTAAGCAAATGCATACTTATGTACTTACTTCATAATTGTTTTCCTCTGAAAATACAAAGTATTTCAAAGGGCTCATTTCAATATAGGACCACCTAAAACCTTCAACTGAGAGATCCATATTTGCTCCCATTCCCAAGAAAGGTGATCCAACAGAATGTGGAAATTAACAATATAATTAATATAACATGCAAGCAAAATACTGCTGAAAGTCATACAAAAACAGTTAGTACATTGAGAACATCTAGAAGTTCAAGCTTATTTAGAAGAGGCTATGGCATCAGGGACAGCATGGCTGACGTCAGATGGATTTGGCAGTAAGCAGAGAATACCAGAAGAATGTCTGTTTG